GGGGGGGGATACATAGAATGCAACCATGGCCTTGCATAGCGCGGCCAGCAGGGAGTAGAAGCTGATTGATCCTTCCTGCTCGCATGTCACCCGGCAGCTGCTGCAGCAGGCTGACCTAACCTCAACGGCCACCGCTGCAGCAGCTGCAGCAGCTGCAGCAGCTGTCGCAGCTGCAGCAGCAGGCCGACCTGACCCTCTCCTGCACGCATAGGTGTGGCCACACACTCTGAAGTATGATTTATGAGGGCAAAAGCTACACGCAAGCCCAGCCCAGCCCAGCCCTCCCTCTTGCGCGCGCATATGTGTGTCCGTGCGAGGGCGAGAGAGACAGCGCGAGAGCTCTGCAGACCCCCCCCCCCCTCTTTTCAAAACAGAACAGCCCCAATTCGTCGTCATTTCATAAGATCCATCAGGTGGCCCGTGCCCAGCCAGCCCCGGCAGCCAATCACAAGACAGACGCCCAAAAAGAATGTTGGGCCCTTCCCTTTGCCGGAGCGCGCGATGTGTATAGTGCCGCTTCGGGTGAGCTGCCAATATAAAGCCGAAAGCAACGTCATGGGCGAGAGAAACCCGCAGCAAAAGTCTATGATATTGTAGTACGAATCGGAGCACACTTCTAATAATAAAACTTTCTGAATCTGTTATTATGTATGAACACACCCTGAAAACTATTTAGTTCGCTTTTATTGTTCATAAAGTGTTATTGATCATGCAATGAAAGCAAAGTCTCCATTTAATTTACCAGTATGTGAAACTTTTACCCAAATGTGAGTGTCGCGAGACGAGCAGCGCGCGGAGGAAGAGAAGGGGGGAGAGGGGCGTATCATCGCGGGGTATCGACGGTCATGAGGGTGGCCATCACCTGGAGGCGCTGGACCGGCCGGCGGTGGACCGTGCGCCCGCCGCGGTAGGCAGCCCAACGCACACCTGTGCCTCGCGGGTCTGCCTGCTGGCAGGTGCACCACGTTAGGGTCGGGCGGCTGGATGCCTTCCGAAGGGCACTTCACTATAAATTCGCCAATGATTAAGCCATTTTTTCTGTATTTCTGTATTATTTTCTCGATTTTATTCTCTGATATTTCATTTTTTCTGATGATTTTTGTGGTGGGTGCACACTGATTTTTTTTAAAATGAAGCACCCCTCAATGCTATGTCGTTAACTATTCACGCTCGGCAGGCATCGATCGAACGTGGAATTAAAAAGTGTTCATTTATTACTTGTTTTCATTTTTGTGTCGCTTTAAAACTTCAATTTGTTGCGGGGTTTGGGTTAAGGGGGCAAGACTAGACAAAAACTATCAAGGCAACTTTTTCTTCCATAAAGACTTTATTCATTCACAAATTCTACGTAAAAACAAATGGTTTCTAATTCTATCCGACGTCTTTCGTTTACAAAAAGTACATGTCATCGAGCACAGTGCTCGTTATTGCTCGTCTAAGCCAGTCAGCCCGAGAGCAAGTAACAAGGAGATACTATCCTAAGACGACTCCGAACGCGCAGACAACACACCAACACAGAACCTCGCAGGAATGTATTTCAACCAGAATAAATTACGTTAGCATCACATTGCGGAGCACTCGGTAGGACTACACTTCGCACGCACGCACACATTCGCACACCCACGCACACACTCACACACAGTCCACGTCTCTCCCGTTGTATTCCCCTGGCCACGTCCACCGCCGGCCGCCGCCCTCCGAGGGGTCGGTCTATCAAAACCCCGCCCGTCGACGGCCGGATCTCTGTCTATAGATCGGCCATAGACGGCGCCCCTGGACGCTGCGGGGGCGGTGGACGCAGGGCAGCCATTTATTATTGCTATTACTATTAATATTACTATCTCTAATGGCACGCTTATAGTGATGTCTCCCAGCTCTTGGCAGCCCCCGCGTCGTGGGCCGGCCAGGCTGTTCCTGGGCCCTCTCCGAGCTGATCGCTAGCGGAAGGGGTCGTGTCCAGCGAACGCCAGGACGGCGACGAGACGGGTCGATATTTTCGTTTCCATCTGACGCCCGCGAGGATGTTCTCGTTTTCTTCACCTCGGCGTCCGTCAGATGTTTGGTCGGTCGAGCCTCAAGTACGATCCTCTAGTACGGAGCTGTTACGACAGAGAGAATAACGCAAATCAGACTGTGGCATGTGTAAGTTGGAGAGAGAGAGAGAGAGAGAGAGCGAGTGGGCTAGAGAGAGAGAGGGACGCGCTTAGCCAATAGGGGAAGGGGCTCGAGTCCATCTGCAGTGAATCTCTCGAGCTGTAATGGTCTTTTCTTATCGGGCGCCCCCCATCGCAATTGGACTTGCAGTATTTCCACGCCCGTCATAGTCACTATAAAGTACGGCGACGGGACGGGCGACAAAAGTGTCGGTGGTAAATTACCCTTTGCATTTGACTTCGGCTCGAATCAGCGTGCTGGTATGTCAAAGCCCTCTTTTAGGTAAACTGGCAGAAAGGGGTGGAGGAGTGGTTGAGTTGAGTTATTGTGACACATTACTTACCGTATTGAGCTGGCTGGTAGGAGGCGTAGTAGAACCTCTGGGGGTAGCCGACCGGGGGGCGAGGAG